CAGTTTTGGGCCCCGCACTACAGGAAAGACACTGAAGAGCTTGAGCGTGTCCGGAGAAGGGCAACGGAGCTGGGGAAGGGTCTGGAGCACAAGTGTGCTGAGTTCCCGGCTGAGGGAACTGGGGTTGTTGAGCCTGGAGAAAAGGAGGCTGAGGGGAGACTTTATTGCTCTCTACAACTACCCGAAAGGAGGGTGTAACCAGGTGGGGTTCAGTCTCTGTTCCCAAGTAACAAGTGACAGGACAAGAGGAAATGGCCACAAATTGCACCAGGGGAAGTTTAGATTGGATATTAGGAACAATTTCTTCACTGAAAAGTTTGCCAAGCATTGGAACAGATTGTCCATGGGAGTGACTGAGTCACCATCCCTGGAGATATTTAAAAGATACATAGATGTGGTGCTAAGGGACATAGTTTAGTGGTGGATTTGGGAGTGTTAGGCTAACGGTTGGACATGATAATCTTCAAGGTCCTTTCCAACCTAAATGATTCTGTGATTCTAGGCAGCTAAACCAACTTTATAGAGTTAGCTATGCTGTAACATATGCTGTGGTGGTAAAGAAGAGTCTGTCACATCTGCTTACTGGACTATGAGATTGTGAGGAATTCTGCTAAAAGAATGAATGCTGTTAAAGAAGGTGTAATCCATGATCAGCCATATGGGGAATAGTGAAAGTCTCACTTGTGTGGTGGATTTTCTCTTTACAGAAAGAGGAAAGAGCACAGACCCCTGGAGGCTCACCTTAATGATGTTGAGCAATTCATGTCGATCAATGCAGCCGTTTCCATCTACATCATAGAGCTTGAAATACCACCGCAATTTCTGCTCCATCTTCCCACGGAGAACAAGGCTGAGGGCAGCCACATATTCCATGAAGTCAATATATCCATCCTGTGGGAAAACAAAAACCAAATTGTGACAGGAACAAAGAGGGAGTTGTGGCTCTGGAGCTGTTTTACCTTATTGTTCTTTAGGTTCACAACTAAAAGAAAAATAAATGGCACAGATACTTAGACTTGGGGAAGAACTTTAGTACACACATATAGACACACACATGTGCTATTTCTCTGGCCACCTTTAAGATCTCCTAAATACTTGGATTCCTAAAGTTATGATCTATTACTTGTCTAGGCTACTCTGTGCTTACCACCTGCAGAGGTGGAACCTGTTACTGCCCATGGCCAGTGTGAATGAACACCTCTGTCCACCAGAGCTGATGGGAGAGAAAACTGATCCCGAGCTTTCGCTGCAAGAAAAGTGAAAGGCAATTCTACCTGAGGTTTTCTGTACTAGTCTGCTTTGTCTTTGTGGGAAACAACTCTATCACAGTAAGCCATGGATCAATCCTTCATTCTCTGAAAAAAAAAGTGACTGAAGATATTTTTAAAAATAGATAGAGCATGATTTGACAGCTGGAAAAAATATTCTGTATTTAGGTTTTTAAACATTCAATTTCTTGAATCTAAAAAGAAACTCAAAAAGCTCTTGTTTCCTCTGCAAGAAAAATGTTGGACTGTAAAGGTTCATAATCCCTACATTTAACACTGACTAAAATTGGAAGTGGTTATAAAGAAACAAGAAATAAAGTGCATATCTCTGTCAAAGATTCCGAATAACTACTTCAACAAACTACAGAGCAAAAAAAATTGAAACTTTCATTTATTGAGGTATTTAAACAAAGTAAGATGTCTTTCTGGAATGGATATAAATAAATATATGTAGAAAGTGAATTAAGTGTCCTACTGTTTCACAGCATTTTAAAATATTAATGAGATCACAGTTGTACTTCCTTTATGTGAGTTTTTCATAACTCCATTGAGCAAAGTCATAGAAAACAAAACTCTAAAGGTGGGAAGGAGGGCGTGATGGCAATTTATAAAATAACAGCATTGAAAATTTCTCCTTTTTGTCATCAGCAGAGTTCTCAGAATCTGAAGGTTCAGAGATGATTCCATCCATCACAAATGTCTGTCTTACTACAGGGTGACTCTGCCTCTGAGTGCTCTTGTTCCTTGCCCTTGTTTATAAAAGGAGCTTAGATTAAGTGGCTAACTATTAACAGGCTAAGATAAACTGATGTAGGTCCATCTCCACTAGTTGCCACACTCTTAACTTCCTTCCCCTTGAGATCACTATCACTTTATTTAGAAGATAACTTTTTTTCTTTGTATGACCAAATTTGAATTTGAGAGACTTGAAACATTGTTTACTGCATAACATGGGGCCCACAGGAGAACTTTGCAATGCGTAACATACTTGAACAAATTTTAAAATCCTTAAACATCCCAAGAAATGACAGAGGTAAAGGGAAAGACTTGTACAAGAAAGGTAAACATGATGGTTTAGTTTATAAAACTGCTTCTTATCACTATCATCATCCCGGGCACAGAGAACCTTAGAATAACCAAAGGATATTCTTTGAGATGTGCAGCCATGTCCATTCATTACACGTACCACAAGACCTCAGCTCCCCTAATGGAGCCTGGCTGCTCCTTTCTTACTTTTCAGAATGTTGTAATATTCCTTAGCCTTCCCTAGCTCCTTATGCCTTCTCACGTGCTGTCCAAACCAACTTTCTTTGCTCAGTCAGGCTTTCCTTCTTCAAAACTGACTCTGTGATTTCCCATTTGTTTCACCTGTCTCTGTGATGAGTTCCTCCTTGACTCACAGTCCTTTGCTCCAGCCATTTCAGAACCTTGGAGCAGAAAGCAAAGTTGAATTTTCTCAGGCTGCCATAAAACCAAATTTCTCTGTCATTGAGATTACAGGCTTGCAAGCACAGGCTTTATAGAGATAAAAACCACAAAAGTGAGTGGCATTGCATTGCTTAAAGGAATTATGGGGGCTACTGTTTCTCACCTTAGAGACAGCCAGTGGTCGCCTGTCACAGTGAGGAATGTTACCTACCTCCTAGCTACCTATGCTATACCCCCTTGCACCGAGGAGAGCCACATAGGTTGTCTGCCCATGCACTATTAATTTCAGCTGCCAAATACCTGGAAATTACTTCCTCTGTGAATGTTCTAATGATTTCTATTGTGACTGAATCCTGTAGTCTCTACCATCTAATACAGATATATTTTTGAATAATAAGACCATATAAGAACAAGAATGAAATCTCCTTTCATTAGTATTTTGCTAGTCAAACAAGGGCAAGTCAAATAATACACAACAAGGAATTCTCAAAATCCAAGCATGAACTTGCACAAGGTAATTAGATAATAAGGTGTTATTACCTATGGCCATGCTATCTGTGTCATTATCTATGCACGTTAATTTGCTCCTTGCATTTAGCTACTTCCCATTAGTGTCCCTCAGCAGCTTTCCACATCAAAGTTTATACGAAAAAAACCAAGGACTCCAAAAGTGCAGGAGTTGGTTGGCTTTTAAGCAGTATGAGGCAGTTCATATCCTTGCCCGAGAACTTACCTTGTTCATATCGAACGTGCGGAACATCTGCTCAATGTACTCATTGGCCTCTGGATCCAGCCCTCGAAGCCCAAAGAACTGTTTAAATTCATGCTCTGTCAGCTGTCCAGAAGGACACTCCGTCATGAACTTTTTGTACCAGTGGTGGATCTCAACAGCCTGCAGATCATCCACCGTGGAGCTGCTGTTGTTCCCCATGTGTACGTGTGGTCAGAAGAACGATGCTGCGGGAATGATCCTCTTCTTCCCGTTGCTCTCACAGCACTGCCTGTCTGCTCCTGTCCACATTCGACATCAGTGTCAGTTAAGTGAGGGATCGAGCTTCCCACAAGCCAATTATAAATGTTAATCTGTTTAGAGGCTGATTTACAATCGTGAAAGTTCCAATGATACAAACAATCTTCTTAGAATGGAAAGGAGGTGCAAGATAATCTAGCAAATCACTGCTATTTCAGGAGGCAAATCAGAAAGGGTGAGAAGGTTAATCAGACACTGGCATCAGGAGCTCTACTGGTTTGGTACACTACCCTATTTTTAACCTTGATATAATTATACATGAAGATAAGAGGAAAAAGCTACAAGATGTGAGATTTGAGGTGAAGTAAAGATCTGCTCCTCTGAGTGGATGTGAGAGTCTGTTTTCTCAAACAGAAATGGTGGATAACCTAGTGTATAGGACCAGAAAGTGTTACAGAAGTAGCTCATCATGAATGTTGGGCTATGTGGGAAAAAGCCTCTCTCCACACACACAAAGGGGCACAGGTGGGGGAAGCCAAATAATCCCCTGAGCTGGCTAATCCCAGAAGCACCACAGAAGTGCAATCAACCCATAAAAGGCTCATCTCCACAAACAAGAAGGAGCAAAAAGAGACAACCACAGGCTGGGGAACCCAAATAACCCAGTAAGAGAAATGAAGCCCTTGACCCGGCTCCCTCTAACACTGTCATAGGGGAGCCACCAGCCCCATGGGCCTGGAAGTGCCACCCATCACAACGAGTCAATGGGAGAGGTTGTCACAGTACCTTACATACTGAGGGGGGTTACTGCCTAGGGGTATGGAAAACATTGTGGGGTGCAGGGGAAGAGCATTTGAGGATTGCAGACTTGTAATGGGATGTTTAGGGTGGGAACCAAAGGTGGGGAAGGGGGTCTGGGTGGTTTGGGGATGAAAAAGCATGTGAAAATGGAGGGAAAAGGGACACAAGGGGCTGGTTGCACGTAAAATGGTTCCTGGTCAGTATGAGTGTCTAGCATCCACGCCCTGAGGCTGATCAGCACAGTCTTTCCTATCCTCTAACACTTCTAACTCTTTTCCTGGCTGTGCAGCTCTGTCCTGTGTGCATGGGGATTTAAGTGCCTGCAGCTGGAGTGGGGACCATAGGTCACAGGAGCCTGCATGTATATGGTGCCAGCAACTGGAATCAGTGAGGATCTATGTGCCAGCAACTGGTGTCAGACCATGGATCACAGGGTCCTGCGTGTCTTGGGTGTTAGCAACTGGAGTGAGTGAGAGTATGTATGTCAGTTACATGATCACCAGTGAACATCAAGCCAGATTAGCCAGTAACTAGGTTAAGCGCTTTGGGAACCAGGTGTGTGTATGTCTCTCAGTGAAACAACTGGAGGAGCTGACTATCGGAAGGACCAGGAGCCCAGCCCAGCTGCTGGAGAGGCTGTAAGGTGTGGGGTTGAGGGAGGCCCACCTGTCTGTGTATATTTCTCTGTGCAGGAGACAGACAGCAGGAGAAAGCAAGGATCCTGAGAGTCTCACCACAGTTATGAGAGGGACCCATAGTGTACACATCTGTGTGTATTATGGGGTGTGCAAGGGGATCTGTACCAGTGACCGTAGTGGGGCTGTGGGCTTTGGGGGTCTGGCATGTCCAGGTGCCAGCAGCTGGGGAGCCTGGATATCCAGAGCCAGCTACTGGGCAGACCAAGTGTCTAAGCCCAGCTACTGGAGCCACCTGCATTGTGCATATGTGTATATTTCTCACTGATGGATCTTCATCCTGATCAGCCAGAGAGGTGCTGTTTGTGTTTGTGTGAGTGCTGGGTGCTTCTGTCTGTGTTGCTGGCTGGGTACATATACATATATATATATATATATATATATGTGTATATATATATATATGTGTGTGTGTTGTATACATCCCTTTGTGTGTATGCTTACTGGGAATACATTCTCAGCTCTGCAATTGGTTGAACCTGGGGGCATGGAGCTGTAGCAGCCCCACCTCTATCAGGCCACCAGATCTGGCAACCCCTAACACAGACAATCAGAGGCAGCCACCATCTTTACTTAGGAATGGTTCCAATGTTTTATCCTCACAAACCTGTATCTGTTAAAACACAGTAAATAATAGCTTATTTTTTTAGCATAATTTACAAAACAATTCCAAACCCATGACATTTTATAATAAAAAAGAGAAGTAATTTTAGATCCTGAAACAATGAACAGTGATGAACAGCCCGTGTACTTATCTTTTGTGGCCAGCATCATATAGCAATGTAAGTAGTTCCACCTCAAATTCACTTTCTCAAGAGCATATTAAATCAATGCAGAATGACTAGGTACCACAAATGTTTCAGCTACTTTTACTGAAGCTGCAGATAAACATTATTAAGACTATTAAAAAAATGCTTGTGTTACTGAAATGCAGTGAGATACTAGTGTAATTGAGCCTTGAAAATACATCACCATTAATCCATTTAAGAAGGAGATGGAGGATTTCTCTGTCTGTTAGACACCATTACTAAATATTCTTAAACTAAGAACTCAGTGGTACATTCCAAATCTTGTTTATGGACAAAGAGGAAGTGTACCTTACATATAGAATCGTAGATCGTAGCATGGTTTGGGTTGGAAGGGACTTCAAAAATTATCTAGTTCCAACCCCCCTGCCATCAGCAGGGACACCTTCCACTAGACCATGTTGCTCAAAGCCTCATCCAACCTGGCCTTCAACACTTCCAGGGAGGAGCAGCCACAGCTTCTCTGGCCAACCTGGGACACTGGCTCACCACCCTCACACCAAAGAATTGCTTCCTAATATCTAATCTAAATCTACACTCGTTCAGTTTAAAACTGTTACCCTCATCCTATCACTACACTCCCTAATAAAGAGTCCCTACCCATCTTTCCTGTAGGCCTCCCTGAAGTACTGGAAGGCTGCTAGAAGGTCTCCCCAGAGACTTCTCTTGGCTACACAACGCCAACTCTCTCAGCTTGTCCTCATAGGGGAGGTGCTCCAGCTCCCTGATCATCTTCATGCCCCTCCTCTGTACCTACTCGAGCAGGTCCACGTCCTTCTTATGCTGGGGCCCCCAGAGCTGGACACAGTAGTCCATGTTGGGTCTCACGAGAGCAGAGTAGAGGGGGAGAATCATCACCCTTGACCTTGCTGGTCACACTTCTTTTGCTGCAGCCCAGGATACGGTTGGCTTTCTGGGCTGTGAGTGCACGTTGCTGGCCCATATTCAGTGTTTCAACCACCAATACCCCCAAGTCCTTCTCCTCAGAGCTGCTCTCCATCCACTCTCCACCCAGCCTGGATTTGTGCCTGGGGTTGCCCCAACCCAGGTGCAGGACCTTGCACTTGTACTTGTTGAACTTCATGAGATCTGCATGGGCCCACCTCTCTAGCCTGTCAAAGTCCCTCTGGATGGCATCCCTTCCCTCTAGAGTATGAACCACATCACTTTACATATATACACAAAGCCAAGAATTTATTGTTAGTATTATAGAAATTTTAACAGTCAAGTTCAAGGGTCATAATTAGTCTAGATTTAGTTACAGAAAAGCAAAGACAAAGAATGTAGATTGTGTACCTACCTATAGGAAAGAAGTTGTACTGTCAGCAGTGCCACAATGAGAACTGCAACACCCAGTTTCTGTGCCTTTTCTGGTGTTACACTCACACGGCTGCTGCTCCTCTCGATATTAACGTCTGTGGTTCACTTTGATGCATGCGGTGGGGGGGTGTCAGCATCTGGAGTCCTTCACTGGGAGGAATGTGATGTTCTTGCTAATGGTTTCCTCATTCTCTCTTTTTTTTTCCTTCCCTTTCTTCTGTTTCCTTCCACTCAGGCTCATGTATATGTGTGTGCTAAATAAATTTACACCTTTCTCTTTCTTTTTACATTTACATTTGAATTTACTCTATATGGTCCCTTATACATACCTTACATATGTTTACTTTGTTACCCCAAAACCCAGTTTTGTCCAGCTCTGCGTCTGCATTTTTTAAACTAATCATTAGTCAGTCGTTTATAACCATGGGGTCTGCAGTGCAAAGCCTGTGCTCCATGTTTTATCATCCCATGTCTGTTCTCCTCTGTGCCAGGTCCCGCATCTCCGCTTCTCAAGACCTCAGATGCTTTCCCAGGCCTGTGTTTCTTTGCTTTACATCATTGTGTCAGAGTTCTAAATATCTCATCCTACCCAGAGTAACTGCTGGCTAAGAGTGCCTCCATAAAACCACGCTTGTCCTGTGCAAGGATAAATAAGTGAAATAAATTAGTCATAGTCACCTGATAATTCATAGAATCATAGAATGGTTTGGTTTGGAAGGGACCTGAAAGCTCATCCAGTCCCAACCCCCCTGCCAGCAGCAGG